GTTTAACGCATGAGTGGTTGTGACTACCGGGGCTGTCCTTGTGTTCCTTAAGATGGGGTTCCAAATTTGTTTGAGCTGCAGTGTCTCTTCTTTTCTATTGAAATGATTTGTATGTTTATGGATTTCTATTGCTTATCCTACGAGGTAGGTGTAATAGCCCGAAGTAATCCACAACACCTGGAAGCAGAACTAGATCATCTCAAAGAAGCCTTTCAATCAAATGGATACAGGATATCTGATATCGATAAGGCTATGAGGCCCAGAACTGCCTCACGACGAGACCCGGGTGAACAACTAACGGTTGCGAGTGCTTATCTACCTTTTATTCCTCGAGTGACAGACAGGATCGGAAAAATATTGAAAAAGCATAATATTAACACAATATTTAAACCAACAAGGAAAATACAACATACGCTAAGATCAGCCAAGGACAAGAGAGATCCACTGTCAGCCGCCGGAGTCTACCGCATACCATGCACGTGTGGAAAGGTGTACGTTGGAACGACAAAAAGATCTGTCGCAACCAGGATAAAGGAACATCGGAGAAACTGCAGACTGGAACAAACGGACACATCGCTCAGTGAAGGGGACTAAAACATTATTTTTGGGGAAGCCAGGATTCTTGAGCCTACTTCGGGCTATCAAGCCCGCCTCGTACGAGAAGCAATAGAAATCTATAAACATACAAATAATTTCAATAGAAAAGAAGAGACACTGCAGCTCAAACAAATTTGGAACCCCATCTTAAGGAACACAAGGACAGCCCCGGTAGTCACAACCACTCATGAGTTAAAATGTCCCGTCCCTCCCCTCCGCGACTCCGCTGGCATAAATACAACTTACGGCCGGGGGCGCGTCAGTCTGCGTCGAACATCGAAGATGGAATCACCTCAGAAGAAGCGAGCCGCTCGTGCTAGCGAAACGTTAGGAAGAAATTCCACTCAACGACGGCCATTAAGTCCGAACAAAAACACTTACAGTTCAACACGTTAGCAATTTCGACTCAGCAAAAACCGACACAGGAGGAATCCAGAACTTTTGTAAAAAGCAACTCAAACATTTGAAAAAGTAATCGGAATTCAGATTATTCCAATAATCTGATTTATTTTTCATAGTTGAGAACATCTATTTCAAACACCTAAATATTTCCTAAAAAGTATCGCTGCACTTCAGCATAAAGCGACATCTTTTAGTGTTCATATGCACTAATGACTTAATATTTATATAGAGGTCCGTTACCTCAGCAGTTTTATTATTATTCTACAACTGTCATTAATTCCGAGTGGAATATAAGCAAACGTCCAAAGTTTCGAAATACTTTTTGTCAACCGGCAAAACCAATTTCGGCATAACGGCCTTCCGAGTTAATGATAATCTTATCGTGTAATTAAGGAGCGCTAGGTAAGACGCTCTTACTTTTACGAGCTCCCGCGGAATTACCAAAAACGGGGCGGCCTCCCCTTTTATAACTTCAGTTTTTATTATATCGTAATGTTGTGTAACGAAAACAGGATACGTCATAAAGCGACTTAATAATTCATATCCGGTAAAAGGGTGGTTCGTTGACAGGTAATTTTCAAGCGTTGAATCCCCTGCAAACTAGCCGTTTTGAAGAATGAAACTACTGATAAAATCGCTTTGAAAAGACATCTCGCGGCGACAATGATAAAATATGTATCCACCTTAGCGAAACAAATAACTATAAATAACCGGTCGGCAATAAAAATTTAAATCCAATTACTTGTTGGGAGGTTGAGATAGATTGAATTGATACATTCTTTTAACATGCTTGTTTTGAAGTGTAGCCATCGGGATTACTCACATAGATACTAGACATATAACTATGTAAACATTTTTTGAGAAAATTTTTAACCAATGGCAGCTCGAATGACAAATTTTGACGTAGGACCCATAAGACCTTGCGGCTTTCAACAATCAACATGGCCGCTGACAGATCGTCGATGTTTGGATGCGGCATTTTTACGGCAGTAGTTTCTCAAAATATTCCAGATCGCCCTACATCTTCAGGCAAAAAGGAATTAACGTCTGGAAAAACAATGCAGAGTTGTTTTTGTTCTTCGAGCACTGTAGATACGATGCAATTTCTACATGTATTTTTTTATGTAAGCTTATTTTTTTTTGGAGATCGGCGAAAAGCGTTCGTTTTCAGAAACTTATATATAGGTTTAACCTCCATTGAAATAACTTTGAAATGTTAGATATCGCACATGAAACATCTAAGTGAAAAAATGTTCAAGAAGTATTTTCTATAGACAGTAATTGACACGGGGTATTTCTTATGCTTGTTCTAGTAAAAATTCAACTTGTAGCTTAATTGCTTTCTTATATTTCCTATAATTCCTGCTCACTAAAACATATTACCCAAACATCCTTCGTAACTATTTAAGTGTACCTAAAAATATAGATCTTTGTTTTTCTAGGATCCTATTAGCTTCTCATATTTGTCACATTTGCTGTAATTTCGTGAACGAACAAAGTATTGAAAGCACAAATTATACAAGTTTGTGAGTACGGTAAGGAGATATTGACACCAAAAATGATTTGTTTTGCGACAATAGTAATTACTCACCTCAGCGTTGCCAATTATGTTCGGATTTCAGAGATTGATCTTGCGTTCTTACAAAAATTTATCAGTTGGGGGTTGACGCATGAGCAAAAGATCCACACCTTCTCTAGGAAAATATTATAGCCGTCTGTGGCGCATCATTTTTTACCGTAGTAGGGCCACAATATTATCTTATAGCTATATGGGATTACTTTATATACCGACCCTTGAACCCTACGATAAAATACCTGCGGTTTTAATTAATAATAATTGAAAATTTGAAGCGCGTCAGGAATTTTGGTTTCCCAGTTAATTAAGCCTAAATATTATATCGGCAATATAACACGCATGCAGAAACAAGCGGAGAACGCTAGGGGGGGTGGGGTGTTCTTGACAAAACGCTGGCTTTCAAATATACAGGAATAGAATTTTATCCGCCCCTCTCTACACACATTGCATTGGAGAAGAATTTCCCGATCGAACCAAAAATGTGAATTCTGCGAGTTTATTTATGGAACCCTGTTGTGAACTAGCCGTTCTCGGTTAGAAATTTTAACAGGCTTACACGATACCAAAGGAAGGTGTCATACAACGTATTTTCCAATAGACGAAGAAACTCCATATAGCTACCATACCCGGTGTCCCTGTAAGGGTGGAAAAGGAAACGGAAAATTTATTAACTGTTATGTAAGTAAAGAAAATGCTGAACATTATTTTTGAGTTCTTTAAATGGCCACCAAAGGACGTAATTGTTATCTTGAATTTTAAATCTCGGTTTTTACAAAAATATCTAATGTTAAATAGTTAAAGAGTAAATTAAAAAAAAAACTTCCACAGGCCACTGAAGAATCCAACAGGATGATGATGAAGTTCAATTTATCAACAACCGATGTAGGTGGAATCCAGAAAATTCGTAAATAGCATAGTTCAAATGCACTCCAATTTAAAGCCGAGAAAAATACAAATCTTTTCTGTTTAATGATGTTTGCTCTATTTCTGCACGGAAAATGATGGGGGATTTTCGAATATTTTCTTTCTGTAATAAATGTTCATATCTCCAAATTGGCTTCACGTATTTTAATAAACTTGAAATAGTTAAAAAGAGATTTTAATTAATTCAAATTGTCTTTTTTAAACTGATCGTAATCAAAGAAAAATACTGATTATTTTAATCCAAACTTTAGTTAGTCTTCAACAACTGGATTAGTCCTTTAATAGTATAAAACATTGAAATGTCAGCTAACAGGTAATTTGATGCCCTTCAAATGTATTGTAAATAAATAACAAAGAAAAATAATAACATTTTATTTTGATTTCAAATATCATTTGGCACCACCTGGTGGCAGGGTAAGCAATGACAATCGTGACACTTATAGTCTAAGAAAAACCGTTTTTAATGATTCCAATTTTATTAACTTTTTGGACTATGGACATTTATTTAGCAAAATGTTTGAACAGCTCACCCCATTTTATTACATTAAAGTTTTTATTAGTTTTAACTGTAACTGTGGTTAACAAAAATTTTAGTAGAAATCTAGTTTTAAAATTCAAGATATCATTACATTTCCAGCAGTATTTTTTTTCAAATTTCTAGAACCAATCATTTTCCTAATACTGTACCTCGTCGCCATTTCTGTAACATATATTTTCACCATTATCAATCAAAATTAAAAACAAGCAAACTGTAAATCTGTAACATATCACGAAATTGAAGTAATACCATTGTAAACCCAAACACGAAAATTAAAGGCTATATTAGGCTGCTTTTGTATATAATATTTTTATTTTGTTTTTATCTGTTTGCGTAGTAATTTATATACGCACATGTGGAGGCAACATTGTAAAATGTATGTTAGTTTTTTGGAGGAGCTGTATATCTACAACTGCTATTCATATTGAATGAAAGTCAAATCTCGTCGATATCTAATGAGCTACTGTCGCGAAACATATAGCTACCTAATTACTGTCAATTTGTGATAATGGGTAATGAAGTTTGATATTATATCGTTGGCAAAGTAAAAGGATATTTATCTATCTTTATAACGTATTACTTAGGTAAATCCTAAGTATAACTTATATATACCCTGCTTTCGTGTGGCGATGTAATAAAATATCTACCTATTACCCATAATAAATAGATATTGCAAGTCTTTGAGCTAATGGTGTCTACGACAATAACTTGTATTAATTTCTTTGATCATCGTCATATAATTATGAGTCAGCGTCAGCCGTTTACTTACTTTTTAGGAATACATAATATCACTTTTATTTAAAAATTTAAATTCAAATTCTCTTATAGCTAAATCAAGATTCAACCATAATATGCGCAGTTGCAGGATTGGAAGAACGCGAACGAATTTTCGAACGCGCCTTTTACGCGGTCGAGAATAGCTCTGGCATCTGCATTACCGGCCGATCAATAAGCCGTCAGCTGACTGCCTGTCTACAAAATACGCAGGCCGCACAAAATTAACCTAAATTCGAATGTGTGTTCGGTTTTCCACATTTTAATTAACAATTATGAGTGGAACGGATAAATTTACTTTGTACGTGTACGACGGGGACTACGGATTACCATCTTTAGACATCGAGTGCACGCAATCGATACTTTATTCCGCGGTAGCGAAGATTCCGGTGCAAGTGAAGTTACTCAGCGACTTGAAAACATGTATGTTTTACGGCGGGCCTACGTTTGTGCATAAAAATTTGTATTTCAAATCGTTCAATGACATGATTTTATATTTGAGAACGTTGCATATCAACCTCGACGCTAATTTAAATGCGAAACAGAAGAGCGAAGCGCTTGCCCTCACCACTCTTGTGCAAACCAAACTGAAAACTGTTCTCGAATATTTGTTGTGGGTGGATCAAAGGAATTGTGAAGAGTTTACCAAAGTTTGGTATATGAAAGTCCTCCCGATGCCAGTAAATTATGTTCGTACCAGTAGATTTAGAAATAATGCCATGAATCTGATTGAAGGACGTTTTCCAGAAGACTACAATTTGGAGTTAGTGAAGAACTGTGTTGTTACGTTGGCAAACGAATGTTTATCTTCCTTAGCGACCCGTTTGGGTACATCCGAGTATTTTTATGGAAACGCACCAACCAGTTTGGATGTGATTTTGTACAGTTACATAGCTCCACTGGCCAAATTACCTTTTCCATCAAATGACATTAGTAATATCATTACCACTTTGCCAAATCTGTTAAGTTTCATAAAGAGGATTGATGCCAAGTACTTCCCAGATATACCAAAACAGTCAAAATATCTCAAAAATCAAGAAAAAAATAAGACAAGCGATGAAGATGTCTCATATGTAGCTATTTCGATACTTACTCTTAGTGCGATGTCGCTCGTTATTGGATTTGCCGTTACCCGAGGATTTATTTCTTCTAGATATTTTTACCGATGATTAAAGAAAGCATGATGCATATTTTTTAGGAGGATATTTGTACTTTGTTTTTATTTTGTATAAATGTGCAGTAATAAAATATTGCTCATTAATGGATTTTCTATTTGTTAATAAAGATAATCAGTTTAACAGTGTGTTTTTATTTATATGCATGTGGCATATTTAAAAAACATTTTTTTACACTCAGAACATAGCCAAATGATAGGGAAATATGGGAATAAAAGGGAGATTGTGAATAATACATTTTAAAGAGCATGAAAATCGTAGGCCCCTAAAGCGATTCCAAAATGTAGATGAAGAACCCACTGCCATTTTTATATATTGTCGAATTTTGTATTTTTGAGGTTCTTTCAAAACCATGATTTGCAAAATTTGGTCAAAAATTTTGCAGTGTTTCTTTTTAGAATACCTCAAAATTTGCCACTTAAATATTGTGGAAATGCTTCAGTGGTTACAAGTAGCAGTTTCTGAATCACTTCAAAACAAAAAAAAATCTTAAATGTTGGAATGGTCCCCTAGATGGAAGAATCAACAGAATAGTATAATATTTTCGATATAGGGATACTACCTACCATGTAACAAAAGGACTGATTTTCTATTTGGAATAGAGTTGAAATTCTTGTCAAATATTTGCCAGATACCAACCACAAACTGCAAAAGGTTTTAGTTTTAGTGTATGTAAAGTCCTCTTATGATAAATTTTTAAGTAGAAAAAGTCTCAAAGTTATATTTTTATTAAATTTATTTTCCCATATATTATAGCAAATTTGGATGCTACGACCAAGATGTTTCAATCAAGTTTATGATCTAACCCCGAGCCTAAACCTTAAGGTTGTGTGTAGCCAAACTTTATTTCTTAGATACGTAAGAACAGATACGTAGTATTTAGACAACGAGGTCAGCAGTTTGATCTGGTTTTCCTGTAAAGTCGATTTATTGGATAATCTGTGAATTTTTATTTTATATTTTATCACGTTTTGTCATTGGCGCAAATTCTATTATTAAGAGTTTCAACTTGTGGCATTTTTAAATGACAACGGGTACAAAAACTATGTAGGTGCTTTTAACAATGACATAAATATAATGATTATATTGTAGAAGATTTTTAATTTTTTTATAAAGCTTTAAGAATAAGCCCTTCCTTTGGGTAAAATTTTCATTAGGGCTAAAAAAAAACACAATAATAATATCCAAATATCAGAAAATATCTGGGAAAACGCCAATTGGTACCAAAAAGCGTAATTCATCGCATTCGGCAAAAAAAAGGTGTTCCGGTTAAATTAATCAAGTTATATTGCCACTCTGTAGAAGCAGTATTTTATAATTGATGACATAATTCCAATACTTTTTGTAAATTTGAGAAATTAAAATGAGATTACATGCTAACAAAATTCAAACTGTTTAAAAAATCTTAAGCTATTGTTATTAAAAATCTTAGTGAAACTCACTCTTATTTTGATAATAGAATTGAAAAATGAACATATTTAGCGTCGTATAGCGTGAATAACCCTGTATCAAAATAATTTTGATATTAATTTTTTAAAAATATGGAGAAGCAGAAAGCCTATTATTAATTGAGGTGAGCTAGGTATATCCAAGGATAGACAGTGTGTGACTGAATAGCCAAAAAATGACATCCTTTCCCCCCTTTTTCTCCCAACAAAAATGAAACAAAATTTAGTCACACTCTATGTTATTTGCTAGAATCGAAATTAATTAAGTTTTGAGTAAGCCCAAACTAAAACGAAAAAGGGCAATCGAACGAGACCCCGACCGAAATCCTATAGCTAAATATTAGACTTCCTTTTTCCCCTTAATGGTTTCCGAAAAGTTTAACTTTGAAAACTCTATCTTGCGAAGAGAGACCGATATAAATCTTATCGCTGCGTGGTGTAGTGGGCTTATTGCCGCATTTTAGCCCCGGTTCTTCGACTGGATATATGCGGGGCCAGAGCAACATAGGCGCCCCGCCGTCTCTATGACAGAGTGCGGTCGTAAAAATAACAAAAGCAAATATGTGTCAGGGGTCACGACCAAGAAACGCATGCGGAAAAAACAATACTTCATGACAAATGATGATTGCTTTCCTTGATTTTACCAGGAAAATCTACATTTAGAAAACAATAAACAGAAACGAAATTGCCATGAAAAAATGATAGCTTCGAAAAGGCGGGAGTAACAAAATTATGATGAATGTTTTCAATTATTTTCGTTGATAAAGAAGTAGTAGATATTGTATGGTTAACCAGCCAGTGCCTTACTATAAGTGGAATACATTTTTTTAAAGTAAATGTTATGTAAAATGTTCATTGGCGCCGGGTAAGTGGTTCTTCCAAATTGAATTGGCATGTTTTAGCAGAATGTTTAAGCTATTTTACGATTTCATAATATTTTATTGCAAGCCCGAAAATTTATTTTAAATGAACAATATGTTGAAGTATATTCTAACCTACGATCATACAACTAACATACAAAATACAAGATTAAAAAAAATATATATTATTGGGATGTGTAAAGTCTGTGGAAGTTTCTTCCAGATCAAAGATTTATCATTTGTCGTTGCCCATGGAATTTGGAAATGTCTTGTAATTTATTTAAGCCATCCGTTGTGTCTCATTTGCCAGTAGCGTCATTATATTTTGTGATTGTTGTATTGTGGATTGTGTGGATGTGTCCTTTAGTCAAAATGAAGACTTGCCCAAAAGAATGCCTTTTTTTATTGGCTTTCCGAGTTTATGTTCAAAATTTTCATAAAATTAATCACCATCTCAACGCAGACGTTTTTAAGGAAAATATTAAACTTGTTTAGGTGGAAGGTGGAAGATGTTAGTTGAAAAAAACAATACAAGAAAACACATGGCTGAAGATGAGCAAAATGTTTTTACGGTAATTGATTCAATTATAAAAAATCCAAATATAGGTGAAAATTAGATATCTGAAAGCACAAACATTAGTAAAAGAAATATTTAAAAAATTCAACATTTCAGCTTGGACAAGAACCTTATAAGAAATGATTTTGGTAGCCCATTTCGAGCTTTATGAGTAGGTGTGAAATAAAGCGGCAGGAAATATCATAGGCAACTACAGTAATAAAACATTTATTTAGATAACATGCAAAACAATAATTTGGCCTATTCTGCGAAAGAGTTAGCTGTAGAACACCATTATATAGGTAACTGAAAAGTTTGCTAAGTTAAAAAACGATGCTCAATTTAAATTAATCAAGTTATTGCCACTTAAAGTTGCGATTAGATTAGGATATATTTTTGGATCAGACATATTTGATAAATTAAAATTAGGTTACATTAAAGTTTAGGTATCCTAAAGGTTACTAAAACATACACTTATTTTAGGACCTATTAATGGTATAGCATACAGGGGATTCCATTTAAAAAAATACAATTTAGATACCTTTAAAACTTTTGCATAATATATGTATTATTTAAACAATCACAAAACTTAAACTTTTTAAAACCTTGTATTTTTAGCGCGAATAACTCTGTCATTATATTATACGAAAACTAACTAGCAAAAATTTGCGAATTTGATCTGCAAGCGTCATTTCTAGACATGATTTTAAATATTAAAAAAAAAAGGCATGTTTGGAATTTTAAATAATTAATTAATTGAGCATTACTATAAATTCGATAGGGTTAGGTTTTACCGGATCAAACTTCTAGTCAAACCTAACCCTATCGAATTTATGGTAATCTAAAATTTTCAAATTTTTGGTAGTCGCTTATACCAGATCGACTAACTTCCCAATGGGAGATCTAATATCTCCAATGAATTCTCAGTTAGAAAGTACCATGAGCATATTGCAAATTAGCTGAAATCTATCTTGTGAATAGTTTTTGAACTACTGTATGTTGTCTCGAAACAATAAATAATAATTACCAATTTTTATTATTACATACCTTATGCTTCGAAATTTTTTCACATAGACAAAATGTAGAGATGCTCCTTCCACGTACGAAACAAGAAAACGTGAATAAAATGAAAGCAGCGCGATTGTAAGTCGACTTATTCAGAAACCAGACTACATTATGCGACCTCTTCCGCTCATTTCCAAGCAAATAAACAGGCGACCAAACAAAGGACCAACTCCTCGAAGGCAAATCGTTTAGCTTTTGTAACGTAAACTGTATGCGTACGTCTTTGGGACACGTGACACCTAAATTCTCGATTCAACAATGACCCCAGGCCCAGCAAAGTTTCCAGCCGTATGCTAAATTGAGGATGGCGGGAAATTTGCGTTTGCATACTGTATGTTCCACGCAAATTAAAGCCAGATTTGTCGTTTGCATAGTTTGCGCTATTGTCCTTTGTCTCATATTAAAGCGGAACGTATAGCCGAATTTTTTGGATTCTATGGGCTCCGGTTTCAATTACAATTCATCACGTATATTGCCTATGGCATCAATTTCTCTGACGAGAAGGTAGATTATGTACCGTTTGATTCAGCTTGAATCGACAATCTTGTTCAGTCGATATACACAGATAATATGAAGCTTTATTGCGACTCATAAATGGTGTTCGACTATCGAAGAATACATCGTTTAAAGCTTTATCAGTATGCCGATACCCTTCCACATGTCGTATTATAATAATTATAATAAATTTGGACATCATTGATTAAATTCCCAAAAATCCAGACTCAACTCCACTTACATAGAGATTAAAAAAATTCACTATGCTCGATATATCATTATTTAACTGTAAAACTAGTGTTCATCGGTGTAGTATTCGTAATACTGTGAATTTCTTGAGAAATAGATTAGTAAAACTGCACTACCTAAAAATTAGAAGATTAGTTTTTCGCCACCGAAACTCAACATTTAGAGTTGCAAAAAATAGTTCAAATGTGTTTGAATATCACTGGAGTTCTACAGTCAACAATATACCAACTTGTGCAAGAACATAAACGCGGCCCCATCAAGTCATCACGTAGTCTACCCTGTTTAATGATCCCTGTCATTGCAAATTTACATTTTATTAGTCTCTCGCATTAGGAAACGAAATATAAATTCCAGTTTTTTAACAATAGAGATTTTACAATGGGGTTGCGATAGAAGTAATTCAAGTTAAACGAATTCACTTTTGTTTTTAT